GACCTAGAGAAAACTTGTAAGAAAACCTGCTGGAGGCTCTGACCTCACAACACTAGTAATCTATATTTTAGATTAATGTTTCTCAGATTAGGTTATTATTAATCGTGGCAAGTTGTTTTACCCCAGGACCAAGAAAAAGCTTTTCTCAAACAAAGAAATTTAATGGTTCCACACATTTACCTAAACCATGCAACATTTCTAAATGTCAGGAGGCTATCAAGGTAAGTTGGATCAGAATCACACTGCAGACCTGTGGGCCATTTCCAATAAGGCTATAGATCCAAAAAAATCATTTTTCTTCCCCAGTAGGATGCATTGTTTTCTTGAATAAATATCCAATGCAGTTCTGACTAGTATCCATTAGATATCAGAAAACCCCATGAATTCATTGTTTTTATGCCTTTGTTAGGCAACTCTAGAGTTCTGAATTATTTTTATTTCACACATGGCCTTCTGCTGTGAATCTTGCATTGTTGTATTCTCACATGAAAATTTTAATAAATTAAGAACAGATTTAACAATCTTTATTCATTTTTGGTCCAAATTAGTGATGTATAATTGCCACTTAGTGAACCCACAAATAAACCAGTGATTCTTGGAGAAATTAAAAAAACAAAACAAAAAAAACCACACCACAATTATAATGAGGCCCAAGTAGGCAACCACCTCAGTTTAAAAAAAAAATCAAGTTTGTCCTATTTTGAATTGAGAGACCTGACTGCTGATACACTGACACTTTGACTTTAAATATAACAAACAGAAAATGCTGCCTCTGTTTAAGACTATTTCTGCACCTCACAATTAGATGTGTTTAGCCTTTAAAAGGCCAATGTAATCTCTGAATCACTCAGTGCAGAACAGAATAGTCATAACAGGACTGTAATCAAGGCAAAGTTATATTTCTTCATTAAAAGTGAGGTAGGTTTTTGTGTGCATCATTCAATGATGCAGGAAGCAGTTTCACTTTAACTGTATGTAGGCTTGCTTACATACTGCATATGAAAAACCCCAGCTTCAGCAATTTTAGTCTCAATTCTTCAAGCAGTTTTGGACTTGCAAAGACCCCAAAGTGACATCTTCCTGTTGGGTGGTGCTTTAAGAGTGAGGTGCAATACAATATGAGCCCAACTCCAAACACCCTTGCAAAACCATATTAAAGTGCCAATAAGGCAGCCATATTTGCAAAGGAAACAGGGAGGTGCCAATTCCACAGTGCAGCTACTGGAGAGGTTTGCAGACATTCTGTCTGAGAAGCATGATGGCTGAAAAGGCTGCAGTGCAACTGTATCCCTGACACATGGGAAGGGAAAAGGATGCCCTTATAACTGCAGTAACTTTTCAAACTTCATCTTACAAAACCTACTAGAGCCACTGTGTTCCTTTTGTTAGTTTCTCCTAAGGAGTTTGTACAGAAGGTCTCCCATCGCTCCCTGACATCATCTGGAAGCTCTAGAGTAAAATGGAGGAAAAAAGTTTTAGTACCAATATCACTCAAGGCAGTTAGTTTTCACTCTCTTCTCAGCTCCCAAAGTTAAACTTGGAAAAATCACTGCAGAACATGTTCTGCTATACATACAATTGAAAATTTCCTCAGGCACTGTTTATTCTAACAAGGTGTGGTTTT